TGCTGTTGGTGGATTAACCCAACCCTGAAAATATATTAATAGCAAAGGATAATTATTGAATTTTTTACTGTATTACTCTGCTTTTTAAGAAAAGTACAATGATCAATTGACATGTTTAAAAATGATAAAGCAATTCATATTTAATACGTTTCGAATTTAACAGATGCGATTTTCTTCAAAACAGAGTCTAAAGTACTTTTCTTTCTATAGGACTACAAGTGATCTGCCTGAATCTGTTTAATACTTTTAATTCCTATGTATTAGCTGGGAGTGTTTCTCTTTTATCAAAAGTTGTAAAACTTGGCATTGTGGTGAGCCTGGTGACCATTTAACTTTGGACAGGAAAGCAAAAGGACAAGGAATCTCTATTCTATACTTTCGTTTTCACTAAACTTTGTCATGCAAAATCAATTGAATAGAGGAATGGGAAGTATATGTAATTATATCATCACTGACTTTAGTCTTCTGATGTCGGTGGATTAACCCAACCCTGAAATTCTAATAGTAGCGAAGGACAATTATTGAAGACCCACAGAGAAAAAAAAAAGAGGGAATAATTATTGAATATTATTTACTGTGTTATTTTATTTTAGTGGGTGTAATCTTATGTTATAATAGGAGTTTTGATGAACTGACTACGGCAAGCAAAAGTGAGTGAGCATTTCTACTATACTTCTAAATATCTGTTATAATTTGTGACTCCCCATAAAAAATATAATAAAATTTTTGTAAAAGTATTAAATTCGAAGTTAAATTAGTCTATAGAATTATAGTGATATTTCAGTAAATTAATTTGCAAATTTTAATATTTACAATTTTTGTTATTCACAAATTATGATTTTTTTAAAAGAATTTAAATAAAAATATTTTATGCAATAAAAATTACAAAATAAAATTAAAATATATTTTTTGAATATTTAATTAATCATGAACTTACATATATATATTTATATTGAGATAAAGGGATTCGAAGTAAAATTAGCTATCCCACACATTTCTTCTCCAACCAACTCATCCCCTTTGAATTGGTCATTACAACTTTTGTCAAAATTTCAAGCAAAACTTCTCTTATCAAATATTAATTGTTGAGATATGAAAGCCCAAAGCTTAGTGAATAGTCCAAGAATAATTTGCATACGGGGTGAAGCACACGCCAAAGAAAAAAAAAGTGGGCAAAATCGAAAATTTTGATATGATATAATGTTTAAGCAAATCATTTTCTTACACGAACAGATGCTATAAAAAATTAAATGAAAAATAGAAAATGTTGATATGATATAATGTTTAAATAACTCGCTTTCTTACATGAATAGATGCTATAAAAAATTAAATGAATTATCTTATGGATTACTTCATTAATTACATAATAATTTGGTCAAATGAAAAATAGAATGCATGGAAATATTATCTCATTCATAATGAAATTCCAATGTTTTGTTGTAGACAAATTTTTTTTTTTTTAATTCTTACAATAAAAACAAATATATTTAGTATTTGTATAGGTGCTTGTCTGTCATAGACTAGGACTTTACTGTCCTTTGGTTTTCTGACATATTTTTAAGGTAGTGTGGAAAACTCTCAAAACAAAAAAAATCAAGAATACATGACCGATATTGAAGTTGACATGAGTTTGTCATTTTTTTATTTGTCAAACCAATCGATAGAGAATTTGAGGAAATTTGGTAAAAGCTGACATGAAACATCTTCAGACTCCAACGACAGTAAATCCATCCACAAATTTTTTTTGAACAAATATATCGGTACTAAATCCTAAATAATATCTTATCCTTTCTTTTCTTTTTTTATTAATTTTATCATATCCAATCATGATAATTTTAGCAAACCTAGCTAGAAAGGACAATTATTAAAAATCCAAAAGTCCATTGATTTCATTAAAAGAAAAACCATTGCAAAGGACAATTATTAAAGATCCAAAAGACATTGATTTCGTTAAAAAAGAAGAAGCAATGGTAATAAAGACTAAAAACAGTTAACTTACGAAGAGATTATAATTGATAAAATACGTTATTAGTATATAAATTTTATATATTATTAATTAATTATTAAAATTTTTAAAAAAATTTTAATTTTGTTTATTTATTTTAAAGGTTAATAAAAATTTATATTTAATTATTAATAAAATAATATTATTTAATTTATTGATAATATATAAAATTTATATATTAATAATATATTAAATATAAATTCAATTAAGAATTATACAATACGAGATGAAATTAAGTTTTTTTAAATAACACAATTAATGGTATTTTAAGTTTTATCTAAATCTATTTTTTTTTTCAAACAATATATAAAATGCATTTTTTTACTTCAATTAAATACATTCAAAAAATTATTTTTAAAATACTTAAAAAAAATCAAACTTTAATTAACAAGTAAAAAAAATTATCATTTAGATTAATCTTTAATTTTTTCAGTATTTACTCATGATTTTACATTATTAAATCTCAATTTCTACGTCTTTTTCAATTTTCTTTAGATTTTTTTTTTTATTTGTAGCACAACCTAAGCATAAACCCAAAGCTTCAATAACACAAAACAATGTGGAATTTGTCTTGCTCTTGAATATCATAGAAAAAAAAATTTTTTTTTAAATTTTTTTTCTCTCAATAAGCAAATAACTTAGAAGAGTAAGCTAGAATGAAATATTTTTGTTTTGCTATGCAACCGAAAAATATATAATCATTTAAAAGACTACAAAATTAATAAGATATATTTGCAGTCTAGCCATAATGCTCTTGCATTTTCCATTAAACGTGGTCACTAGAAAATTAAAGAAAAAAAAAGGCATTTTAAAATTGAATAGTAGTTAACAGGTTACCTAATATTAATAATTTAATTCCATAGGGAAGTTGCCTCGTCTTTTCTTGTTTTATTTGCATTTCTCCTGCTTCATGAATGAGTAAATCCTAGATCCTTTCAATGGCGAAGGACACAAAAGCCTCTGCCATTTCTTTTTAATCAAAAGTTGTGTACCTTTGTCTTGGTGGTGGGTCTGCTTACTATTATTACTGTGTTTAGTCTTCCATCATTTCTTCAATGTCTTTAGTCTTCTGATGTTGGTGGATTAACCCAACCCTGATAGTAGCGAGGACAATTATTGAATATTTTACACTGTATGTTTGCTATGCAACCAACAAATGTTACGTACTACAGAGGTTATGCAAAGAGAAGGGTGTTTTGGGCCTATACAAGGGACTTGGAGCAACACTTTTAGGTGTTGGGCCCAGCATAGCAATTAACTTTTCAGTATATGAGAGCGTGATGTCTTTCCGGCAGTCACAAAGGTGATTACTCCTCTTGTGATGATTGTTTCATAGATCATCCTATTCTAAGCACAATTCCTTTATCCTTCTTATAATTAACTTTTTATTAGGCCCCATGATTCCGCGGTCCTGGTTAGTCTATTTTGTGGCAGTCTTTCGGGGATTGCATCATCAAAAGGTTAGCTTTAGGCAAAGTCAATTATAGAATCACAACTCATAAAAAAAAAAGCCAAAGAAATTACTAATCCAATCTGCAAAATTGTTCCAAAATGTAGTTGGCATGTTGGAAGAAGCACACATTGGAGAAAAAAGAATGTGGGCAAAATTCAAAATTCTGATCTGATGTAATGTTTTTGTTAGATTTGTCTCAGCTTGTTACAAAAACAATACTTGATTCGGATCTGAAGTCCCCAGAAGCTTGGAAGCCCATTAGCAGGCTGTTGAAAAGCATAGAGAGTTTGCCTCACTTGGAAAAGACAGTGAACCGATGCTGTTGTCAATTGCACAAACATAAATGTAGGTAGAAGTATAAGCGCATAGGAAGATTCAACCTCATTTCTTGATTAATCTCAAAAAAAATGTTCACTGTCATATAAGAAAAAACTCATGGTAGGTATGCCTGACTCAATTTCATACCCAAAAATAATGTTTCAAAGGAACAATAGTCACTTAATGGCTCGATTCATAAGAAACAACTCATGGTAGATTATCCCTTCATTGAAGTCATTAGGACGTTGAAAGAGCGATATGTTCCTCCTATAATTAAGTTGTTTAAAGCACTTGAACTGTAATCAATCCCCCAGCACACTTGTTTTTTTATGAACTTCAAAAGCATTTATGATGTTTTCCATCACATGGATATTAAATTTTATAAATCTAAGAAAACATATCTAAACATGTTTCTAACTCAAAGCAATTACCATGACTGGCACATGTTCCATCAAGCGTCAAAGTCATGATAAAGCCAATTAAATGATAGATACAAATTAAAGCAAGCATTAAAGCCTATAGAATAACATGTAAAGGTTAAACGAAAGCATTCATGTTTTAAAGCACTTGAATTCTTTTCATCCATTCTAATTTCATTTCTTGGAAAGCCATAATATGCCTCAAACCTTCTCGAAACATTCTCAATTTTGAAAAATTATATGGTAAAAATCAAGACCAATAAACTAAATTAACAAATAATCATGAAAATTATTTTATTTTTTATGCTAAATTTTCTAATTATTTAGACATATGCGAATATCTTAATTCTTAAATTTTTTTAAAGGTTTGGAGACAAGTGGTTTTCTAATATGATATTTTATGTTCATTTTTTATTTCTTATATTTTAAAATATTTCTATTATTTAAAGTTTTATGGTTTTAATTTAATTTTATTTTTCTTAATTATTTTTATTTTTTCAGTAAATATCTCAAAATTTCATTAAACTTATACATTGTTTGTCAAAATATTTTAAAATAATTTCATAAATAAGAAAAAGAAACTTTATTGATAGTGATTAAAAAACGGATATAGATGGATCAATTGGATCTGTTGATTAAAGTTTTGTGGCCCTATTTGTCAATAAAAAGCCCATCAAACATTATTTTAAACCAAAAAAATCAACCAAGTAGGCCCATTATTAACCCAAACCATGTCAACCTTGCTGGAAAAACAAAAAAAGATGGACGCGTGAAACTAAGCTCTCCCAAACGCGCGTGCCAAGATTGAGAGAGAGCTCCCATTAGTGTACTTTCCTTCCCTCGTCATCTCCGTTTCTTGCAAATTACGTCAAAACGCACCGTTTTCTCCATTGAAAAAGAATTCCCCAGTTCTTTCTTAAAAAAAGCACTCTTCCTGTTAATTTCTCAGTTCGATCTCTTATTTTCAATGGAGGAATCATCGTATTCAAATCTTGCTACAACTCATTTACTCGGCTCAGTTCCCGTAAGCTGCTTAATATTTTTTTTCCTTTATATTTTCAGTTAATTTATAGCGTTTTATTTCATTTTTATTGAATCAAATCATCAAGATCGACGTTTTTCATGTGAATTAATTTCAAATTTCATTCGAATCTCAGGCTGTTGTCAATGAAGAAAAGAAGGCCTCGTATGCAGGTACTATTCGTTTTATTTTCAGTGTTTGGAAAAGTTTGTTTGTTTACAGTAATTGCGAATTTGTTTTTATATATTTATTTTGAAATGGTGCAGTTCCTGGAGCGAAGATGCAAATTTTCCCGCCAAATAATGGTGGTGGAGGAGGTGGCGGCCGAGGTTATCAAACTCTTGGAGCTCCAACTGGTATGTTCTTTTTTTCTTTTTTTATTTCTTTTAATTTATTTTCTTGCCATATAAGAAAAACTTTGTTAAATTTATCAGTCTTTCTTTTTCTTACTCTGTAATTTTATGATTAGAAAGTAATTATTTTCGCTATTGATGTGATAAAATTGAAAATTCTGCTATATTTGCAATGATTAATGGCTTAATGAGTTATTCTTAATAAAAAAAAAGTCTTAAAGAATGGTTTAGTAAGGAAACTTTGTTCTTCACAAATAGATAATAACTGAAGGAGAGAGAAACTTTCAAAATCATGACACCTAGTGTTAAGATATGGAGATTTGGTCATTGAACTGAAAGGTTTTACTTATTGGAAGTGACATCCGGTATGCTAGGGAAATTTAGCGAGGAAGGTAGTTATTTTTTATGCACTTTAAGTTTGAATGAATAGTGTACATTGCAATTTACTCTTATGTTTTCCTTTATGGAATAGTTACCTGTTATTTTCATAGTTACTAATTTCTTTATGTGGAATGGAGTCCGTGGTGAATATTGTTAAAAGGATGTTATGAAATGAACCTTCTGATGCATATATCCTTTTGGTGGTTCTGTTTATATTTTTGATCTTTCCTTGAGCATTCTCTCCTTGTTTATTTCATTGTGTGTTTGTGCGTGTCTCTTCTTAGGAATGTAGAGTTGTAGACTAATGATTTTGCATCCACATTCTAAAACGCCTAAGAATATTGTGGCCGAGTTACTGGTGTCGCAGTTAGATGTAGTTCATGATGGTAATATTGTGATGCTTTTATTTAGTGTTATTGAAGTAACCTTAATGTTTAATGATCCCTTTGTCTATCATATGCAGAAGTATTCGAACAACAGCCACCAAACAACTGGAAAGGAGTGTTTAGTATATCGTCATACACACAGTATTTTAATGTGGATATAGATGTTGTCATAAACAGATTGATAAGTTCCTTTTATCCTGTTGGTGGAGTTTTTTTCAGCAAGATTGATGCTAACCCTGATCTGTGAGTATGCTCCTCCCTCCCCCCCCAACAAAACCCAAAAAAAAAAAAATCTTCTTCTGCCACCATTGTATCATAGAACGAGACATTCTATAATATGGATGAAAACGCTGCTTTTGTCAAAGCTTCATCATTCTATTTTTGGAATGGAAGTTACCCTTTAGAGGAGTAAAGTTTATTTTCTTGTGTTTTAGACCTAATAAAAGCATATTATCTCTAGTCAATATAATTGAGATGAAAAGTAGGATTGAAAGCACTCAAAGCATCCATTTACCTAGGCATTCTTTCATTTGCAAGAAACAAGCTTTTTGGAAGTCAAGACCTGAATTCACTTGTCTTATTCATAAACTTACTGAGTTAGAAAGTTTAGTCATTTGGTTCTTTATTTTGACATGAATTGCTACAAGAAGGAAAACTGCAAGAAGCATTAAAGGAAGCATACTAACCATGAAACAAGGCACCTGTAGCTCAGTAGATAGAGCGTCTGTTTCCTAAGCAGAAAGTCATAAGTTGAACCCATACCTGGTGCGTGCTGATTTATTTGATTTACTGATTCTCTTGTGTAAGTTCTTGGTCATTTCAAAGAAGTACTCAGATTGAGGTTAACAACAGGGTTGCCTCATTTAACCACAGATTGTGTTAATAACAACATTTTGCATAGCTTTTGGTTTTGATGTAACAATATTTCAATTTCTTTTGGATATATAAAATCACCTAATTATCCAAAAAGAAAGCATACTAAACATGATTAGTGCATGTGGTTTTTATCTAAAGGGAATAAAGGCCAGCAGTAATACAAAAGATACATGCACGCATCAGTTGCACGTTTATTGCATCGTTGTCTATAATTCTTATCCTAGTCCTACCCTTTTCATTTGTGGTCAATTGGTCTTCTTTGCAAGTAGACTGATAAAAAGAAGCCATTTTTAAGAAAGAAAATAGGAAGACAAGATAGATAGAATCCTTTGATCTTAATAGTTTTATGGAAGTTAAAGTACACTAGAATTTTGTACTTAGTTTGTATTTTTGTAGTTTGTATTTTTAGCCTTTTATTTTTCTTATACAAGAGACTCTCAATGAGTTGTTTGAAAGGGAGATCATGGATAGTCTGCCTTCAACCAAAGGATATTTTCTCGTAAGTCAATCAAGGTATTTTTTAATGTATAATGCTAGGATACAAGCAGTAAATTCTCTTCTGATGGTTTTCTAAAAGTAAGAGGGTACATGGTCCTTGTTTTGTCTCAATGAGAAAATTGAATTTCTTATTGCAATGATGTAATGAAATATACATCTGATTATGTGGAAATCTTGACGATGTAACAGATGCAACTAGATAGTGGGAATCAATGTGCAGTTATTTTCATGATTATTTGTTAATTTAGTTTATTGGTCTTGATTTTTGCCATATGTTAGGTATGGGCTTATCTGGGTCACAGCTACTTTAGTCTTTATGCTTGCTACTTTAGTCTCTGTCCTCAGGATTGGTTTGCAAAGCTGGCTTTCCTTATTTCAAAGACTGATCAGAAAGGCCAACAGTTGCAAGGTCTGTTGGTACTTGGTAGCATGGTCTTTTTTTAGAGTGTTAGAATTTTTAGTTTTAATGATCAAAGGCCAAATCTTGACAGCTTCAAGTTATTAAAAAAAAAAAAAAGAAACTCCTCAGGAAGGCATCTAGGCCTTCCTTTCTTTTCTTCTTTTCGCTTCTATTAATTACTTATAGATGCACAAATTATACTATTTGGGCTGATGGTAATAACAAATCAAAATTGCATCAGTAAATGTGATATTCCTTTCCATGTTTTCTTAACTTCAGCTTTGAATTTGATGCTTACTTTTTTTTTGGATATGCATATCTGAATAAGCTCTAACAAATCTCATTGCAAGCATGCCCCAAGTCTTTTGTTTCTGAAGACATCTTGATTTATAGTGGATTTAGGAGTCAAACAAAACACCCAGAAGTTCTTCTGACATCCTACATTATTTTGCTTGAAGAATTTTGAACAAAATACGTATGCAACCTAAATACAGCTTGGATTTTCTGTTATTGCCAGTTTCTCAACTATTTTCTTTTCCAGGAAAGTTCAAAAGCATTTCTGTTACTGATCTTTCTGTTATTGAACATGGAAATTTTCAATCAATCAAGAATTACTTTTAACTTTCCTTTTGTATTAACTTAGGAGTTTACAAGCAATGATGTTTATTAGTGAAGATAAACAGTGAAACAAATTCAGTAAAACAAGAAAAAAGTTTTTAAAAAGAAATAAAATTCAAAAAATAAAATTATCTGTAGCTTATCATCAACACATGGATAATCTTCATAAACTGCAAATTTAAAATCAATAAACAGCCAGTTCATTAAAGCTCATAGCAATTCATTTCCTCGAAGCACTTGATCATCAGAATCAACCATCAAGGAAGAAAAGAAACAGATCACACTTTGAAACAACCAAAAAGCAAAGCGATGTGAGCCCAGCCTCTTCTTGCTCTTATTGGCGCGATTTCTTTTCATGATCAAACAAAGTATCCAACTCCGCCTCCTATCAGTGCCCATCTTATTATACCTACACCAAGATGAAAATGGCATATATCATCGTCTCTTATGGAAAGGAAATAATATATATATATATATATGAATATTTATAGCCCCAAATGAAAAACGATAGAGATTATTGTTTTAGAAAAAAACAAATAAATCACCTGCGAAATTAGAGTTTTCATTCATTATCCATAGTTTCAAATATTTGGATGGAGGGTATGTGGCTGACTTTAGAGAAATCCTCTCCTCTTCCGTCTATCACTTGAATCTTTTCTACCAATGAACTCTCCATAAACTTTAATTTCATTTCTTGGAGAGTAGCAATGTACCTCAACCCTTCCGGAATCATTCTCAAATGATTTAAACGAGCCAAAGATAAACTCCGGAGACGTGGCATTGCGCCTTCTTCAATCTCCCACTTTTCTAGTTCTGATAAAAAATCAATTTCAAGAGAATCAAGTTGAAGAAACCCTTCGGAAGAGCAAATCAGTTTAGTCCCCATGTATGCATTCCACCGTAAGCGGAGAGTCCTCAAATGAGGCAGCTTTTCCAGTACAGCCATTGGATCCTGCTTCACCTCAGATCCCTCCAAAGTTAACTTGCCAATGTTTGCAGGAACAAATTTCAAAACATGATGCCTCGATTGCGGATCTTCTTCTATCTTTCTTGATAAGAATAGTTTTGAGAGGTGAAGATACTGAGAAAGGGGTTCCAAGTCTGGAAATGATTGGCTTGAATCCCATAAAAACCTCAATTCCAATGACCGAAGGCGATGTGATTGGATCAGTTCTTTGAGGATAGGCTCAACATCTTTTGATCTCCTAAAACATATTCCTAAACTCTGAATATTAGCCAAGCCCAACACTGTATTTTTTTCAATTAAATTCTCAGCCTCAATGCACTTTAAAGTTTCAATATTTTTTGAAATAATCCTTGGCAGCATCCACAATTCAGTACAGAACGAAAAATTCCCACAATAATTAAGTAATAAAATATGCCTTAAACGTTCCATATTGAATAGAATTTTAGGATTTATTGTTAATCCAATACTTTGGACGTGCAAAGTGTGTAAATTCTTCAACTTCCCAATATATCGTGGCAAGATGATTTTTCCATAACATTTTAACCCCAAATATCTTAAATGATGTAGATCAACAATTCCACTTGACACACGCCATTTTCTGTTCCTTTTCACAACTTTCAAGACTTTTAAATTTTTGAAGTTTTTGCATTTTGAAATGTGCAATTTTATCAATTCCTCATTTTGAAAGAGCAACAAAGAACGTAATTTTGGATGTTCTCCCTTCAAAGAAACATACATTTTCGTAGGATGAATAGCAATTCTTCGTGGCATAGATGTCGACAAAGTCACATTATTTGGCTGAATAATTTCCAAGAAATTCTCCTCTCGAGCTTTCTCCAAGCACAAGTCCCTCAAGAGATCATCTATGTGACAAGTTTTCACACCTACTCCTGTATAGTCCCTCTTGCTGACTTGAACCAAACATCTATTTATCAGCTCTTCCAGGAATTGTTCAGCAACGTCTTCCATCAACATTCCTCCGCTTTCAAGTGATGGTGAAATGAAACCTTCAGCAATCCATAATCGAACGAGTTCCTTCTTTATCTTCTGGATAATGACCAAGATATAAAAAGCATGGTTTTAAATAATAAGGCAAATCGTTGTAGCTTAAAACCAAAAGTCCATTCACTGCACTATATTGATGGTCTTCTTGTTGGACATTGTTCAAGTGTGCATGCATGTTTCTTTGAACCATCTCCCATTGAGCCCGTGATTTTTTAGTTGCTAGCAAGCCTCCCAACGCAACAATTGCAAGAGGTAGCCCTCCACATTTTCTCACCATCTGTCTTCCTAGCGTCTCGAAAAATTCTCCTGAGCCAGCATCAGACTCCGTTGTATTTCTAGGGAATGCTTTCCTCTTGAAAAGCTCCCAACTTTCATCATCAGTAAGAAGTGGAGGCTCTATTGGGGAGCAGCAAGGATTTGCACGTAATGCCACATCCTTATTTCGTGTTGTGAATAAAATTTTGCTCCCTTTTTTTCCTCTTGGAAAAGCAGGTTTAAGACTATTCCAATCTTCACTTCTCCAGATATCATCAAGGACTACCAAATATTTTTTTTCTTTCAAGATTTCAAAAAGTCTTTTGATCAACTCATGCTTGGGCATTTTATCAATTTGCTCTCTTTCTTCTTTAGAAGGAGAATGAACTTTTATGAGGACATCATGCAAAACTTCTCTTGGCACACATTTTTGAGAAATAAAAGCCCAAGCAAAACAATCAAAATGTCGTCTCACATCAATGTGATTGTATACTTTTTTTGCAAGAGTGCTTTTACCTATGCCCCCCATTCCGACTATGGAAACAACGACATGAGGTCTATCTTCTTCTTCTTCTTCTTCTTCTGTCATCAACTGAGCCAAAACATTCCTTGTCATGCCCTCCAAGCCAACAACATTCACTTCCTCAACATGCGAGTATGTTCTTCTTAACCGCTGCTGCTGCTGCATTCTAGAAAGAAAGCTAGAGTCCTCTTGTTCACCAGATATCTCATAAGCTGGAAGACTCTCGGAAATATCTTCAAGCTTAGTCTGGATTGCTTTGACCTGCACCCCTATTTTGTGCAGATGAAAAGGCTTGGTGAAAATGGAGGTGAATCTTCCGGTGATTCCATGAAAACCTCCCTGATGTGCAACTTTAAGAATGAAGGTGTCAATAACATCTTCAGCATCGTAAGCAAGATCTCTAATTTCCGCCACTCGATTGCGGAGACGTTCGTCTTGTTCTTGCTTATGGTCAGCGTCTTTCAAGAAGCACTGCATCCGCTTTAGTTTAACCTTTAGGCGCTCCACTTCGTCACGAACTCCTCCCAGGTAAACTGCTTCATGAATAAGTAAATCCGAGATCCTTAGCCATTCGCTTACATAATTAAGTCTCAATTTCTTCCAACTTTTTCAAATGTCATTAAATTTATTTTTTTCAATTACAACACAAAAATTGTGGAATATGTCCTGTCCTTGAATATCATAACCAAATTGCATCTTTTTATTTTTTTTTTTTCTCTCAATAAGCATATAATATAGAATAGTAAGATAGAATGAACAAAAATAAAATCATTTGAAAGACTATAATTTTATTAAGAAATATTTACCCTCATGCATTTTGCATTAAACATGATCACTGATTATTGAATATTGTTTACTTTGTTACTTTGTTTTAAGAAGGTGCAATCGTCTGTTTATACTTATAATTGGAGTTTTGATGAACTGATAATGGCAAGCAAAATTGATATATCATTTCTACGTTACTCCTATATATATATATATTTTAATTAGTGATTCCACATAAAAAAATTTAGATAAATATATTAAATTCAAAATTCAGTTTAATTGATTTATATAATTATAGTGACATTTCAATTGATTTAAATTTCAAATAGAAATATTTAAAATATTTTTTATTCTTAAATTACTTTTTTTTTTAAATGAAGTAGAAATATTTTATGTAACAAAAAATTATAGTGAAATTAAAATATTTAATTAATCGTCAACTTAGACATATATAATATATAATATTATATTTGAGACAGATATTGGAGTAGAATAAGCTATCCCACGCATTACTTCTCCAACCAACTCCTCCCCTTTGAGTTGGTCTTTACAACTTTTGTCAAAATTTCAAGCCAAACTTGTCTTGCAAAAGCATTAATTGTTGAGATACGAAAGCCCAAAGCTTAGTGAAAAACAGAAGAAATGACTCAACCGAGCTCCGTAAGTGGTTCCATAATGTAGTTTGCATATGGGATGAAGCACACTCTAGAGAAAAAAATGTGGGCAAAATCGAAAGTTTTGATCTCATGTAATAGTTAAGCAATTCACTTTCCTAAACGAACAGATGCTATAAAAAATTAGATGAACTGTCTTTTGGATTACTTCATTGCTACACAACTACTACATAATAATTGGATGAAATGGAAAACATGTAGTTGTCTCATTCAAAATGAAATTCCAATGTTTTTTTGTTAAAACCCCAAAAAAAGGAAAATTTAGTTCTTACAATAAAAACTAGTATATTTAATCTTTGTATAGGTGCTTGTTTGTCATAGGCAAGGACCTTACTGTCGTTTGGTTCTTAAAGCTCTTTTCCTGATAACTTCTTTCTCCACATATTTTTAAAGTAGTGTGGGATACTCCCACTTGTTTAAAAAAGAAATCAATAATACATGGCCTACATTGAAACTGACATGAATTAGTCATCTTTTATTTATCAAATCGATCTTTAGGAAATTAGTGGAAATTTGGAGGAAGCTCATATGAAACTTCTTCAGAGTTCAACAAAAGGGTAAATTATGAAATTAAAATAAATAAAATAAAAAACTTAAAAGATTTCAACCAATTCCTTTTAATTGCCATGTTATTATTATTGGTAACAACTAATAAGCCTGGATGTTTAGTAGTGATTATGACTGTCAAATAATTAAATTTTTACGGACTATCTGATAATTTCAAAATTTTAGACCTCTTATCCAAAAACTATTTCTTTATCCAATACTTGCCTTCATTATGGCCTAAAGGAAAAATACCCTTTTAATCTCAGACCTTTTATCAAAAAGAGGACGAACCATTATTAAATATTTTTTTTATTGTGTTACTATGTTTTAAGAAGATTCGATCAGGAAGAACTAAGTGAATGTAGGAATATCTCACTTTCTTTTAATCTCCAAGAAATTAATATTTATGGATATTTGCAGCCTAGCCATGCATTTTCCATGAAACATGACCACTGAGTATAGAAAAGTAGAGGGAAAAAACATTTTAAAGTTGAATAGAAGTTGACAGGCTACGTACTATAGATATTCCAGTCCCATAGAGAATTTGCCTTCTCTTTTCTTGTTTTATTTGCATTGGACACGGTCTAAGGGCAGACCATATGAAAGTTAAAAAAAAACATTTTAATGTTATATAGTTAACATAAATACTAATAGCGCAACTTCCAAGTAATTTACTGACAACAAATAGTAGACCGTCCAATTACGTTTTTATTTTTCGTGTAAAAGAAAACGATAATATCTCGCCAAGATGGCATGATTTTCCCATCTTTTGTTTGTCAAACCAATCAGACGAAATTTGGAAGCAACTGACACGAAACATCTTCAGAGTTCAACGACGAGTAAATCTGTCTACAAATTTTTTATTTGAACTATCAAATCCTAAATATTTAACAATGAACAGCAAAAATATCTTATCTTTCTTTTTTTATTTTTATTGATTCTGTCATATCTATGATAATTTTTTAATAGATGTAATTGCAAAGGACAATTATCGAAGACCCAAAAGTCATTGGTAATAAAGACTGAACCAAAAATAATAATAATAAAGCAATAAAATTATTAAAAATATATATTGAATATATTTTCGATATATAAATTTTATATATTAAAAATAAATTAAACAAAATAAATTTATTTTTTTAAAATTATTTTTAACATTAATTTTTTAAGGTTAATAAAAATTTATATTTGATCGAAATAAGATTATTTGATTCATTAATGATATATAAAATTTATATATTGATAATATATTAAATATAAATTTAATTAATAATTATATAATATAATATGAAATTAAGTTTTTTTTTTAAATAATACAATTAAGGGTATTTTAATTTTTATCTAAACCTAATTTCATTTTTCTCAAATAATATTTGAAATGTATTTTTTACATCAATTAAATAAATTTAAAATTTTACTTTAAAATCTTTCAATAAATATCAAACTTTAGTTGACAAGTAAAAAAAATATCATTTAGATTAATCTTTACGGATAAGTCTTTAATTTTTTAAGTATTAAATCATGAACTTACATAATTAAGTCTTAATTTCTACGTCTTTTCCAATTGTCTTTGGATTTTTTTTTAATTTATAGCACAAATTAAGCATAAACCCAAAGCTTCAATAACACAAAACAATTTGGAGTATGTCCTGCCGTTGAATATCATAGACAATTGCCTCTTGTTTAATCTTATTTCTCTCAATAAACAAATAATTTAGAAGAGTAAAGCTATAATGAAATATTTATGTTTTGCTATGCAACCAAAAGTTATATAATCATTTAAAAGAGTACAAAATTAATAAGAAATATTTGCAGCCTGCCATAACCTCTTGCATTTTCCATATAAACAGGGTCACTGACTATACAAAATTAAAGTAAAAAGCATTTTAAAGTTTACTAGTAGTTTAAGAATATTTCAATTCCATAGAGAAGTTGCCTCGTCTTCTCTATGTATTAGCTGGTTGTATTTCTCTTTCATCAAAAGTTGTGAACCTTTGTCTTTGGGGTGGGCCTGCTGACTACTTAACTTTGGACGGGAAAGCAAGAAAGAAAGAATCTTTATTGTTCACTTTCATTTGCACTTTGTCCAGCAAATAAAATCAATTGAATACAAGAAAAAGAAACATATTCTTACTGTGTTTAGTCTTCCATGATTTCCTTCACTGTTTTAATCTTCAGATGTTGGTGGATTAACCCAACCCTGAAATTTTAATAGTAGCAAAGGACAATCATTGAATATTTTATACTGTATGTTGTTGGTACTCAAAAATCACTGGTTGAATAAGTTTATACTGGTATAAAAAAATTAGATGAACTGTCTTTTGGATTACTTAATTGCAACATACCTACTTCATAATAATTGGATGAAATGGGAAGCAGAATACATGTAATTGTCTCATTCAAAATCAATTTCAATGTTTTCTTGTTGAAATAAAAAATTGAATCTAATTCTTTAAATAAAAAAACAAGTGTATTTAATAGTATTAAACATCGGAACTTGCTTAACAAAGGCTAGGACTTTACGGTTATTTAGTTTTCAAAGCTATGCTCTTTTCCTTGTACCTTCTTTTTCCACATTTTTCAAATAGTGTGGGAAATTCCCACTTTTCCTTTAAAAATCAATCAACAATATATAGCCGATATTGAAGCCGACATGAATTTGTCAAACCAATCAATAGAAAATTATAGGAAATTTGGAGGAAATGGATATGAAACATCTTCAGACTGAAAAAAAAAAAAAACAGTGACGAATATTGATGTTTAACTTTAAGAGGGCTGAAATAGTATTTTAAAATAATAAATCTTTTTATTATTATTTTTTTTCCTTAGACAGGCATTGCAGGGCTAATTGCTCATAAGATTCCAGCCATCGATTCATCAGACGTGGCATTGCCTCTTCTTCTATATGCCACTATTTTAATTCTGATGTTTTAATTTCAAGAGAATCAAGTTGGAGAAATCCATTGGCAGAATAAAACATTTTTAATCCTTGTAAATGATGAATTCCTTAAACAGAGAATCCTCAAATGAGGTAGCTTTTTGATTGGTATAATCCATACAACATCCTTTTTCAAGAGATTCAAGGCCATTAGAAATCTGAAATTTTTACATTAGAAATGATCAACTCACTATAGAAATGTAAAAAAAGAATGGTTAAATGATACACCAGAGTTTTGTAAGTTACTTGATATAACTCGAATAAAATTCGAATTTGATTTGATTATTATCGAGTTAAGCTTGAGTAATTCGATTTATTAAGTGAGTCAAGTTTAAGCATTTAATGCCTCTAATAGTTCACAAGTTTAATTAAATTTTTATATTTTAATATATATTTTAACTATTTTATTTGAAAATAATTATTTTATTCTTATATATATCAATTTGAGCTCGAATTCATATTCGAACATAAATAATTAAACTTAAAATCGAGCATAGGAATCGAGCTAATTTTTTATTAATAAATAAGCTTATTTGAGCTAATTTCAATAACTTGATTTTTATTTTGAGTTAAGTTTCAGTTTAAAAATTAAAACTCGATTAAGTTTAAGCTAAATTTTAAACAACAAATTTCGAGTTAAGTTCAAACTTCTTATTGAATTGATTCAGCTCGACTTAATTACACATTTAAGAAAGTTATTTCAACCAAATATGTTTCTCTTTACTCATATGTTAATACTTTTTTTTAGGAAATATGTGGCTGTTTTTTTTTTTTTTTCGGGAGTTTGATGCTAGTAAATTAAATGAGGATGAAAAATCTAATAGACCTAACTCAATAGTCTATACTGAGAAAACATAGATTAAGAAATTAATCTAATTGAGCCAAGTTTATCCCTAGGCTTGTCAAATAATGAGAAAACATAAAATTAATCAGGTGAGCAAAGATGCATTAATGTTTTTTAAATTAGTGTTTTCGGCATCATTGATTTGTTTTGGTCAGAACAGATTCAATTTGTTGATGATCGTCCTTTGAATGAGTCAGAAACAGATTGTTTTTGCATTCTTTTGATTTGATCCAATGCTAGAATTCTGGTGTCTTTTGTCCAATCGAAGTTTTCCTTTATTTACATCAAAATATGACTTAGCAAAGATGTTACCAAGCAAGACAAAAATTTGTGGTTTCGTGGTTTTGTAGTTCAAACTTTTCAATTTGATTGGTTGGAGAATTATCTTTCTATTTTTTTTTCATTAAATAAGTTTATAACTTAAAAATTACAATTTAGAACAACTATTTGAATGGAATATATTATTCAGTCATTTTTAAAAAATTCAATATCAATAAATAAATGTAGTCCACTAAAAAGCTTCACCTGCAATGTAAGATAATTTTGTTTTTTTCCCACAATACGTATTTATAATATTTAATTTTCTTAATTTTTTTTCGTGAAATGTATTTATCAGACTTCCAAGTGATTTTCCTTAAAATGGTTAAGAAAAGGCCTTACGTGGTAAGTTTGAGTGGTTTTTTACTATTTAAGAAAGGAAAATTATTCAAATACATGGTTGCTGAATGTTTATTAAGGTATAATTAAAAATACTAATAAATTAAATAATTATCAAATAAATTCGTATCAATTATAATATTTTGATTTTTAACTATTTATCATCCTTTTTTTTTAAAATATAGAAACTTGGTAAGGAAAACAAAAATAAATTAAAATATGTGTCATTATTCTAACCTAACTTGTAAAATTTAAAAGCTCCATGTGTTAATGTATTTGATAATTTTTTTTATTTTTAATGTTGTGTTTTACTGTAAATAGCTGATTAAACAGATGAAAATGAAAGTGACCAAGTCTTTCCTATATCAACACAAGAATTAATAACAACAATAAATTCTTCAATGAACCATGTTTTGGATTTACTAATTCATTACAGCACCAACACATACTAATCTCAAGACATCGCTATTATTAGATACAAAGTGTATGAAATTAATAAAGAAAACAAACAAAAAAGAGAATCAGAGAGAGAGAGAGAGAGAGAGATCAAAAGGCAAATGGAGGTGATATCCGTTGCATTCCTGCTCATTTTGCCATATCTAAACATGGATATCAAATTTTATACATCTAAGAAAACATATCTAAACATGTTTCTAACTCAAGCAATTACCATGACTGGCATATGTTCTCATCAAGCGTGAAAGTTATGATAAAACCAATTAAATGACAGATACAATTAAAGCAAGCATTAAAGCCTACGCAATAACATGTAAAGGTTAAAAGAAAGCATCCAGCCAGCTTCAAGTCGGTGCGATTAGATTACCTGTAACCAAGATGAAAATGACTTTTATAGCTTTTATGAAAAGGATACATTTTCCAAATGAACACAAAAGGAGATTATCAAAGAATAATTAATTCACCTGCAACTACTTTGAGTGAGGATTTGGCATTGCAAAATTGGAGTCTTCAATCTTCCAGTGGACCAATTGACTTGGATGGAGGGTATGTGGCGTACTTTTAAAGAAATCCTCTCCTTCTCTTCCTTGTATCACTGAATCCTCTCTACCAATGACCTTTTCATCCAATCTTAATTTCATTTCTTGGAGAGCCCTAATGTACTCACCTTCTGGAAACATCTGAATTTTGGAAGACCATCCAATTGTAACTCCGGAGGCGTGGCATTGCGCCTTCTTCAATCTGCCATCTTCTAATTCTAATAAATCCATGATTTCCAGAGAATCAGTTGAAGAAAACATTGGCAGAGCACATCATTTTACTACCAGTATATGATGAACGCCCTAGCTTGAGAATCCTCAAATGAGGTAGCTTTTCCAGTGCTGCCATTGGATCCAGGTTCATATAAGAAAAACGCAAAGTTAACTTGGACAACGTTTGCTGGAAGAGATTTCAAAACATGATGCCTCGAAAGTGAATCTTCTTGCATCTTCCCTATTAAGAATAGTTTCGAAAGGTGATGACACTGAAGAAGGGGTTCCAAGTCTGGATACGATTGGATTGTACTCTTTGTTAACCTCATGTGCAATGATCGAAGGCGGTGTAATTCTTTCAGTGATTTCAGGATAAGCTCGACATCTTTTGATCTCTCAAAAGTTAA